GGGACAGAGAAATGGGACAGAGATGGCCCCGGCAATAACTGTGTATTGGGTGTAATCTTCCGATGTGCCATTTTTATTTTTGTCATTTCAACATTTCTCTAATAGGATGTTGCGGACAACCAAGCAAATTACAAACTGATTGTTTTCAGTGCTCACATTGTCTAGTGCGACATCACATGGTGCATTCTTCATTGGGGGTGGGTGAAAAATGAGATAAAGAAGGGAGGTCATGACTGTTCCTAAGTATAGTGGAGGGAAAGTGAGGCCATGTGAGGAGAGGAGACGGGGAGAGCCAGGACATCAAGAGGTCATGAGGGCAAAGGATAGACAAAAGAGCCGGGTAACCAAAATGGCTGCATTATATAGGGAAGGGTAGCTAGGAGAAGGCGGCCCAGGGCTGCAGAAGTTTAGGGTAGAGGGCAGGGTATGCCAGTCATACACTGTAACAAGTAAGGAACTGAGGGATGCTGGGAGGACCTGGAAGCCAGGTCCACTTTGATATGTTAAATGGTTAGCCATTTGTCCCAAATCTGAGACCTAACAGTGGCATTATTCATTATGGTCAAATATGACCAAGAATATACTTAAAGGGACTGGCTCATCTTTTAAGTAGTTTAAAAGTTTATTTATAGTCCATTATTTTAATTTGCTGAGTAAAAAGTGTCAATTAGTCTTAGGTACCAAGGATAATAAAATATACATAGTACTTACATAGCATATAAGCTGGAAGACAGTTACATATTATATTATCGTGTCGTATGGTATGGGGATTTATAGAAACAAAGGTGCTGGAGCACGCTGGTGTCTGCGAAAGCACAGACAGTCAATGAGTCACTTGGGAATCACCTTTGCATGGGAGTTAAGGGAGTTAAGGATCTAAAGCACAGGGAGCTACTGCTCACGTAAAGGCCCAGAGGCAACTTCGGAAGGGTTGGCTCACAGACTCTGAAAGGAGTTCAGCAACCATGAGGAAAGGAATATAGTCACCTCATTTGCATCTCTTGAGACTTTGCCGCCCTTGTTTTGAGAATGAATACAGTTCTGTAGTCACAGGCCCTGAAGAGGCCGTCTATTCTGACTTTAGCACTGTGGCAACAGTTCCAAAACATCTTTCATCCCAGTTGCTTAGCATGAACTCACATATGAGATTTTGTGCTTCCTGTATCGGAAGAGCAGTTATGAAGAATAGAGTTTGGATTCTAAGTCTCAGAAAACGTATCATACAACTAATTTATTCTATCAATAGTAGAACAGCAGGTCACACCGTGGTGGACACAAAACAGTGGCATTGGGGGCAAAATACAGTCCCCAAGGACTCCTCTCTAAGAACCTCCTTCCTGTAACCACAGAGCAGATTCCACCACCTCTCAATAATTTGTTCAGATTTCACATCCACCAGTTGATTAAATCATCAAGTTAGAACCTCCATGATCTAATCCTCTCTTGGAAATGTAGCCCTCAGAGACAGTCGAGAGGTAGGTTTTACTGATCTTAAATATTAACTATCAATATTAGCATCAAGACCAACTAGAACAAAACAAACTTGTTTGGCATATATACTTTTTCCTCTCATGGCCTTGTAACTAAAGAAATAAACAACTCCTAGTGGATTCATTATTGCCTTCGTAGACATCATAATTTAGTCTCTCCTGCTGATGCATGGCTGCCACCGGAGTTCATTCATTTGCTTTGGATCAGTGACTGCCTCCCCGTGTTCAGCCACCTCCTCACTGAATGTCACTGTGAATAGGAAATACTGGCGTGGGAAAGAAGGCTCAGAAGATGACCCATGCTTCTAGGGAGGAATGGCCTCCACCAGGGGCATTTCTAGATCCTCATATGAATGAACTGAGGTGGAAGTAATCATGTTTAGATTTCACTTAAGGGAGAGTGTACTATCATTTAATTTCACTATACACCGAAACTCATGGAAATAACACTTGCTTCATGGCCTAGATATAGCCTTACCCAAGTATTCTAGCCGTCTGTGTTTGCATTTGACTCATGGAGTTGAGAGCAAGAGGAAAATGAGCTTGCTTTTCGGCTCTGTTCGCAGCAGGAAACTTGAGGTCAGAGGTGCAAATTGAAGTCATTTGTCACGTATTAGCTGTGAGACTTTGAGTGAGTGCATTTAATCTTAGTGGTTTTTGTTGTTTTTCGTCATCAAAATATGGAAGATGTGTATACAAACTTTTACTTTTTTAGATTAGGATAAAACATTATAAAGCTCTTGGCCCAGGGCCTTTTGTGTAGTAAGTTCCAGTGTTACTCTGTGCTAGTTATTGTAATCATCTCTCTGAAGGGCTGAATCTAACCATTCGGGTATTTCCAGTGATAGCAATGGGCAAGATATTACACGGAGAGGGAGAAAAGGTATATTTTATTTCCTCTATTCCTTCTTGGCTGAGCTTCAGCTTTGATCCAGTCACTATCTACCTGGATCCAGAGCTTTGATACAGCAGCCTCCTTCCAGTATTCAGGTTCCTCAAGGCTTCTTTTCAGGTCTCCTGTTTCAAGTGATTTCTATCGACCCTTGCTTATCTCAGGTGCCCTGCCTTTGTTGGTTCCCTAAGGCCTCCTTCCAGTGGTCTGATTTTGGAGCTCCCTTCAGCTCCATGTTCGCCATATATTACACGGGGACTCAGACATGTCTAAAACAGTGAGAAGGACTTTATTTGGGTATAAATGAGAACATTTTTGACAAATCCTTTAATGTATGTTGGAAGAAACTAACCCAAGAAGTTGTAAACCCTTGGGAAGTTCTTCAGAATGGTGGTGATTTGTTATGATAGATGCATAGCTTTGAAAGCCGGAGAGAGTTTGTTTAGAAGGCAGGGGGTAGTGGGAAGGAAGGGTGGGTTCTTTTGTAGATGCATAAAACAACAAGATCATATCTACAGTGGCAAGAAGAGCAAGAGGATTGTGAGCAGTGTAAGGAAGTGTGGCTGGATGTAATGGCTGCTTTGTGCAAGGGTTGGGAAAGGCAGAATAATAGTGGCCCGCCAAAGATGTCCTTGACCTACTCCATGAATGCTGAGTATGTTACCTTAGATTTAAAAAAAATGGATATGGCAGATGTTATTGAACAGGGATCTGGAGAGAGGTACCAGATCAATACAAGGACCCTGGGCAGGTAGACTTGGAGAAGAAGTGACCTTGAAGGAGTCAGAGAGGAAGACTAGAAAACCTCACTCTAGGCCCTCCACAGGAAATGCCTTAGGGGGGGGAGCCTTGATGTTATCACAGTGTGACTTAAAACCTACAGAACTGTAAAACAATAAATATTCCAGTTTAAGCCAATAAATCAATGGCAACTTGTTACAGCAGTAATAGGAAAGGGATATAGGGTTCTGATTTGGGCAATCGGCTGAGAATTTTATTTTATCTGAGAGGCAACCACGAACTACCTCAGAGGGTCTACTTAAAATAGATACAGAGGGTTAGAAGTTGGGAAACAGCACAAGCTCTCTAATATCATTCGCAAGTGGGTATGTCCGTAAGACACCAGGTTAGCTGCCGTTCTGTAAACTGCTGAGAGGTTTCCAAGTCTGAGCAATTGATAAGGGAGAAGTCACACCTGAGATCCTTAATGCCATCTTGTGAAACGGACACAAATACACGACACATCAGGAACCTGTCCTCCCTGGGTCAATAACGCTCTGAATATTATACACACAATAAAACCTGAGCATCCTTAAGACATATCTACCGCCTTTTCTCCTTTAATTCTCAAACAGCCATGAACTTGTAACTCCGTCATCCCCGCCCCTCTTGGAAAACTGTCTGTCATTCTTTAGAGAATACACAGACCTCACTTCTGCACGGACTGAATGTTTGGTAAAGAAAAGAAAGAAAGATACAGCTTGAGTAATTGGTAAACAACTCAAATTCTGCAAACCAGCAAGATCCAATCTCTGAAATCAGGGATTGGAAAAAAAAACCCAGGTCAAGCTTGCACCCAGGGTCATGGCCATAGCTAGACGGTGAAACCACTCCCTGGTCTGAAGTGCTCTTCAGAAGTTGCTACTGCTTAGATTATTGGACTTTTCCTGAGGAGTGGGAAATGTGTGGGTGAAAAAGCCCATAGCACATTATTAACTTCCCTCTGCTGCTTCACTGTGAGAAAAGGCGAGCTTGCTGATGATTACTTCTTAAGTGAACCTAAGGGTTTAGTCACCCACTTCTGGGTTAACGGACCCTGTTGCTAACAGTCAAATGTGAAATTAACTAGTTGAGCATGCCAACAATGAACACATCAAACAACTGAATATCATGGCTTGTTAAAGACAACCAGCAATTAAAGGGCTAACAAGGTGATAATCTGTTGCTTCTAGCACCTCACCCCACCACGGACTCAGTTTCACCTCCCCAACTGGAAACTACTACAAAGGTTGTGACCCTAGTTTACTGCTTCCATTTGGAAAATCCACACTGCTCCCAGTTTTTCTCAATTGGATATAACACTGCATTTCTACGATACTAAGTCTTCTTGAAAATACATTTTGTATTTGAAAAACTGCATTGTGATAACTGGATACTAAACGTTCTGATTTCAAAGTGTTCCGCCTCTTAGGAGCCAATGTAGAAACGTCACATTGAAACAAGTAGTTTTGCCTGTCTTTCCTCGTTCTGTAGCAGAAAGGGTCCCAAGCATTAAACAGGAAGAACATGCTATAAAGCCCACTTCTGAGCGACCCTACGGCAGCAACATAGCACACTAATCAGGCGTCCCCGGTTACTCTCCTTTCCAAAAGTTCAAATACTTAAAACACAGCTCACAACATAAAAACAACTTTAATTTGAAAAGCCTCTAGTACTTGGAAAGTTCTAGGCACTGCCTCCCTCACTCTCGGGCTGGCCACAGGCGCTCCCTTCCGTCCTGTGACCTGGCCGGTCTACCTGAGAGCCAGTCCGGTCTGGTCCTCCGTTATGTGCTTCACCCCTTAGGCGAGCCCCAACCAAGCCCCACTAGAGATGATCAGGAAAGCAGGGTCGCTCACCAGTGAGGAGCCAGCAGCAGGCTACAGTGACCTCTAGACTGGCAGGGCGCCTGGGGACCATGACTGGAGCCGCCGCAGTTCCCTTGACGTGCTGGTTCCCGGGCAGGAGCTGGCAGGAGCTGGCAGGACCGGTTGCTAGTGCCTTGCACTCTGGGTCACTTGGGCGGTCTCTGCGGGAGTTCGGTGGTGGCCCCAGCGGCTGCAGCGCCCAAGAGTCGCCGAGGAGCGATTTCCTGTGTTTTGGTCGAATGTCTCTAAGTCCGCTCCACGCTTTTCACATCCCAGACCGATTGCCACATCTCCCGCCCCTTCGCGCGCTGGTTCTCTGAAATCTCACTGGCAGTTTCCCAGGCTCTATCCGAGACATGGACAAATAAAGCCAACTTCGCGGGATGGTGTTTAGGCTAAAGTCCACGGGCAGCAGCAAAGCAAACCTTAAAGGGACATCTGCCTTTCACTAAGAGGGCGATCTCGCTTCAAGTACCAAATCCTTAAGGTGGTGGGGAGGGCGGGACTGGACTTTCAGGAGGGTGTCGCCAATCTAGTGGCCCCGCCTTCATACCCCCTGGACTTCGCCCGGATCTGGGTAGGAGGAACACTTTAAAAGTGCCCGGGCTCTTACTCCTTCAACGGAGGGTGCTTGCCTGTGTCCAGCCGCGCAGAAGGGATCAGACCCGCAAGGAAGTCAGCGTGTCGGATAAATCCCTTTCTTGCCAGCGGACCCCGGGACTTGGCCTTGGATCCTTCTCATCATCGGGGCGTCCACATCACAGACAAGCGCTACTGAGGGTTTTGCTTGATCTTTTAAGAAGATTCCCGATTAAAGGAAGTTATAGATTATGATTTTTTGTGTTTGGGGGTGGGGGAGATAATAAGACTATGGCATAAAAAATGAGAAACTAGACTGTGGGTGGGCAAGAAATAAGGAAACAGCGGTGGGGAGGAAGGCTGTCTCTTTAGAAATGGAATGTGGGCTATTTTGTCTAAGCTAAATTAGGATGTTTGAACACTGGAGACTGACTCTAATAGAGAACTCAAGGTACTTATTTTAGATTTTTTCCTTCTTGTATGACTACATATTAAGTCATTTCATGTTACTTCTTTCTAGGAGAGGTGGCCCGGAGTTAGTCAGCTTCTCTAGTCACTCAAAATTAGTGTTAGTTTCAAGAAATACGTGCCATTTTCATGCGCCTTAGCACCTTAGAGAATTTCAAAGAGGGGAAAGGAACCAATTGGTGGGTTTGTGGTTAGAGCCCTTTGCAGAAATCAGTCCAAATCAGCAAATGCTGGAACATCTCTGTCTAGCAAGAATGGGACCAAGCCGATGCCCCCTGAAGGAGGGCCCTCTGTCTACGTGACAAGGCGGCTTGTACAGGGCTGGAGGGGCCTGGATGCTTACAAGCATCACTGAGTAAATGTCAAATGAAGAAACACGGCAACTCCGAGGGGAAAGGACAAATGTTAAGAAAGTTTAATAATCAAGAATAGGGCAAGCTGGTCAGGGATGGTGGCACATGCCTCTTATCCCACCTCTCAAAGCCTGAGGCAGGAGGGCTGCTGATTTAAAGGCAGCTTGCACCCCAGAGTGAGGCCCTCCCTCAAAAGCAGTCAGCAGAAGTTGAAGGAATGTAACCTCATTCCTGTGACCCATTAGTCCACTGGCAAGGGATTCCCTTTCTAATATATGCTTCAGGTGATTATGTAACAAACACAAAATAACACACATGCTTACTGGGTTTGGTTTTCATGTCTTCTCTCAGTTCCAGTTTCAAAATTGCCCGAATGTCTAGAAAAGTAGTATTCTGTGGGATCATAGTTCATTCCCACTAGACATTACTCGGGCTCCCTTACATGCATTCAAAAATCTTTCCAAAGAATGACTTTCTGGTGTTCATCTCATGCCCCCTGTTTAATCCATTGTGTAGCTTCTGCCTGGCTGTGTTCCAATGGACTTCACAAAATAACCAATAAGTATTGATTAATGCTCAGGCACTTAAAACTCATAATAAATACTTTCCAAATAGTATTTTTTCCCAAATGCTTAGTTTTCAAAATATAATTAGTCTACATATGTATATATGCATACTATGTTTATGTGTGCAGTTATGCATGTAAATATGGACACATGGAAAACAATGCATTTTACTAGACAGCAAAAATTGTAAATATCTTATTATAACATAATGTTAAGGTAGTCTAATAATATGATCAAGGTGGTAAGTAGTGAGACCCTTTCCTTTCTTTGCTGGGTGCTAAGTTGTACTTCCAATTTAAATATTTGTGTATCCTCCTGGAGTTAAACCCTTAATGGTGATAAGATCACTAACAGTAGCATTGCTATGTGCAGTTATGATTTTTTTATTTATTGATCTTTCTGTCAAATCAATGAAAATGTAGAGATTGGAAAGTCAGCTATTGCTGGAGGGTTGCATTAGAATCTGTCCTCATTTTCTGAATACCATAAACTTCTGAACTACCATAAACTAAAATAGATTGCGCGCGCGTGCACACACACACACACACACACACACACACACACACACACACACAGTCCTTCCCTTTGTTTATTCTGACTAGTAGGAAGACAGGCCATTGAATAAACCAAAGTCTAGCAAACATAAATGCCCAGTCTTAAAAGGTAATTATTCTATGAGATTCCTGGGCAGGAACCATTAAACTCTCTACTTTGCCATTTTAAATGAAACCTGATCTGATCAGATCCCATTTGGTGTTTAAAAATGAGTAGGAACTCGAGGACCGAAGTGATTAAGAATTTGTGAGGTTGAGTCTATGGAGTGAGGCCAGATAGTTGGTTTGGTGGTTTGAACAAGAATGGCCTCCATAGGCTCATATTTTTGATCCCCAGTTGGCAGAACTGTTCGGGAAGGAATGGAAGGTGTGAATTTACTGGATGAAGTGTGTCATTGGTGGGGTTTCCAAAGCTCCTTCCCGTGTCCTTCCCAGTTAGCTTCCTCTGCCCTGGGATTGGGGATCAAGTTGAAGGTTCTCAGCTACTGCTTGAGCTGTTATGCCTGCTGCCATGCTCCCCATAAAGACTGTCATGGGCTCTCACCTTCTGAAACTGCCCCCCCAACCTTTTCTCCTTTAACTTGCTTTGGTCATGGTTACCTTTCACAACAATAAAAAAAAGTAACAAAGACAGTTGGTGCATAGTCTTAAAAAACAAACACCTGGGCTGGAGAGATGGCTCAGAGGTTAAGAGCACTGGCTGCTCTTCCAGAGATCCTGAGTTCGATTCCCAGCAACCAAACAGTGGCTCACAACCATCTGTAATGGGGTCTGGTGCACTCTTCTGGCATGGAGATGTACCTGCACAAGGAACATTGTATACATAATAAATAATTTAAAAAACCCAAACACATAGTTTACCTTAAAGTTTGTGTTGGACTTAGTCTAATCCACCAGTATTATTTAGTAGAAATTCATATTTCTACTAAATCAATTTTTTAGTATATTTTTATTTATTGTATACTAAATATATTCATTTATTTTTATACTAAATAAATAAGTTTGGTTTATAAATGTAAAGTGAATACATTTATATAAAATAAATATTTAGTATAACACATTTAGTATATATTTACTAAAGTCCTGGAGTTGGGGTGCGTGGACTCAAGCCCTGGAACCACAGTCCCGTTGCTGTGTGGCAGTGAAAAATGGCCTGGGTTTGCTAATGATGAGAATCACTCCTCTCCCTGAAGACCGATGTGAGGATTAAATGAGGCAACTGAAAGCATTCGGTGTTCACGAGCTCCTAAATAGCCTCCTCTCCCACGGTAGAAGAACTGTTCTTAGGTCCACGGTGGAAAGTTAGGCAGTTCCTGCGTGAGATGGGCCCTGAAGGGAAACATTGCCATGTGATGGCCACCAGAAGGGAAACTTTAGTACTTTAACTGAAAACAGTCTTCACCAACTCCTATTATTTCTTAAATTACCTTTGGCAGATTTACTGGAAATAGTCGCGTTATCCAGAGGATAGGCCTACGAAATGGATGTATATTAAGATACCAAACCATGATAACATAGGCACGAATTTGCTTTTCCAATTAGTTAGGTGTCAAATGGATTTTTATTTTTTCAACAAAAATAGCAAGTGTCACCAGGATTTGGGAATTAAGAGGGTTCAAACAACAGAAGCCTAATGCCATGGGGTAAAGAATCCTCCTACCTGGAAAGCGTTGTAAGTTTTGCTCAATAATAAATAAAGTTTGTTCCATATTAAAAAAATTCTAAGAAAAAAATTTTAGAATGATGTTTTTTTAAAGAAAAGTTCATGCAAATCTTTCAAATATGTTTTTTTTGCTTCATCCTTTTTCTTCTTTAAAAATATTCTATGAAAATCCTGTACATGTCAATCATAATTTCTGGTCCCCTTTCACCTCCTACTCTTCTCTCATTCCCCTTCCACTCCCGCTGAAACCATTTAACCTACCAAATCCTCGCTGCCCACTGTTATATGTTTTGTTATGTTTGACACAGTGAGTTTAATTATGGTAGCTACATGAACGTGTGTTGAATGGGGGGGTGTTATTTACTGGAAAAATAGCAACGTATCAAAAACTACACTTCCCCCAGTACCCTCAACTGCCCATGTTTTAAGGTTCCGTCAAACGCACCTCCATCTCACTCACTGCTTGCTCTGAGGCTTTAGTGATAGATAGAATTGTCTATATCTGCATTTCCTTTTGCAGTGATTACGTAACGTTTTAGATTTTATCATTTCGGTATGTAGACAACCTGGGAAGTGTTTCCAGGGCAGGCGCATTGATGCCCGCTGACACGGAGAACCCACACAGGTACACGGTGTAGCCGGCTCAGTTTTTAAACTCTGTCTGCTATGGACCGGTCTCCAGCGCCGTTTTCTTCTGAGGTGGAATGGGCAGCCCAGTTGTTAGGCCGCTGCAAATCTGCTGCCCATTAACTTCTTTCACTTGTAACGGGAAACAAAAGTAAACGGCCGGCTCTTTATTCTACCATTGGCATGCTTCGTTTCAAGCCTATTGAGTTTCACAGCCCAGATTCATTAATGCTGTTGTACCTTGAAAATTCATGAGTGTTCCCTCTGTGACCAAAGCAAGTCCATGCGATGAGGAGTCACCACTAGACAACCGTTTGTTTTCTGTTACTGAGGCGCATTCTTGCGGGAGTGTTTTTTCACTTAAATAGGTGTTCCGCCCGCCCTATTTCCTGAACGTATCTGAGCCAGAAACCTTGTCCAAAGGCATTTGGGCAACCAGTACAAAAGGGAAAAAAAAAAAATCCTTGACTTGAGAATCCTGGTGAGGTTAGTTGAGCTCTGAACACAGTCTGAAACGTCCCTGATGTATTGGCAGTCTTCAACAGGACTGACACACCATGCTGCAATAGAGAGGCTGTGCCAGGGTGGTACCCTGGCAGGAATATTCCATTCGTGGCACTGTTTGACTCAGAAGAAAAAGTGACGATGGCCAGAAACAGTTCAGCTGCACTGTTAGGTT